AAAATAAGCTCCAATTCTTTACAAAATAAGCTTAATGGTTACTCTATCATAACAATCACTCCTTTGCATGGGGTAATTGACTTGCACTTCCATCTTCTATGACCTAAAAAACAAAGCACAAAACCAAGATCTTGTTAAGTTACATGCAAATAGGATGCTAAAAAGTGAAAAAATAATGATTAACTTAATAATTTTACCTTGTCTTTTGTCTTTCCACAAGTCCTAGAATCATGACCTTTAAAACCACATGTGCTACAAGTTCGCCTTCTAATATGAGCTGTATTTTGTGACACTTGTTTTCCTGTAGGAATCCTAGAAAGTTCCTTTGGTCGACCCTTGGTTCTAACCCTTTTCGGATCACGAATATCTATGTTACTTGAAATTAAATCTTGAGATATTGCTTGAGCACCAAAATCTTGCTCACTTTGTTTAGTAACCAAACCTTCAAGCTCCTTTCTAATACTATATAATTGCCTTTTCAAATCTTCCACCACTACTGCAGCAACATTATAAAGTTTGCCATGACTTACTGCTTGGTCATGCACTTCATTAAGAGATTTTCGAAGATTCCAAGAAGCAAGTGCAGAAACCACTAATTCTTTTGATGTGCTTATCAATTGAGATTGTTTACTACTATATCTATATGCCAAGGTCCATCTAGCCAAAATGTATTGTTCAGGAATCTCTTCCATTCGATAACATTGCATCATTATGTGAAGAATATGTTTACACAAAATACCACTAGTCTCAAACTTCCCACAAGTACAAGCAAACTCCTCCTTGGACGGACCACATCGCACGGAGTGTGAATCAACCTTGCCCCCAAACCCATAACTAACATCATATGTGGTCATCCCATCATTAGTAGCTACTTCATCATGCACACAATATAAAGAATCTTTGAACTAACTCTGAAATTTAGCAAATATCTTTCTAGTGTAAACCATTCCAGCTCGAACTTCTAACTTATGCAAGTGACACGGATTTGGCTTTGCTCTCATTGTCCACATGTCTTCATTCACTTCCTCATCACGACAACATTGTAGAGCTTTAGCATATTGGCCAACAAACTCGAATAATGGTGTCATAGAGTTCACATAACCATCAAAAAATGAATTAATGCTCTCACTTCGTTGACTTGATCTCATTCCAGCAAAAAATGTGTCCCTCAAATACACATCAATCTAACTATATCGTTGCTCATACATGCTTTCTAACCATTTCCAGGACTTTTTTTCATTGTGTTGCTTCTCTGTCAATGGCTCAATAAACTCTTGTTTATATTTCTCCTTCAACTTTTTCCGTGCATTCTTGGCTTCTTCAATAGTTTTACTTTTTCTCACCCACTTATAATATTGTTCATCAAATCCAGGATTATATGATGATCTTAAAGCCTGAAGATGCTCATCCTCATGGAGTGAGATGTGCCAACTACAAAACCTATGACGTGTGTTCGGAAAAACCCTTTTAATTGCATTAGTGATTGCTGGGTCCTGGTCAGTGATAATTGCACCAGGTGCCTTACCCCCCATGCACCGCAACCACCACTCAAATAACCACACAAAGCTATCTTCCTGTTCATCCGATAGGAGGGCACATCCAAACAAGGTTGACTGCCCATGATGGTTCACACCAGTAAATGGAGAAAATGGTAAAAGAAATGTATTAGTCCGATATGTCACATCAAAACCCACAACATCACCAAAATTTTGATACATTTCCCTAGCTCTCCCATCTGCCCAAAACAAGCTCCTACAAACACCATTTTCATCAATCTTTATGGCATGGTAAAAATTTTCATCTGAAGCAGTCATAAATAGGAATTGTTGCATAACCATCATACACTCGCGACCAATGTTGCTCTCCCTTTTTTTTCCTCAAATGTTGTTGACATTGTTGTGGGGTAATATTCGATGTACCATTGCCTGTCACATTCAAAAGTCTTACAATTCTAGAAGGTCCACAACCAGCTTGTTTATATTGATCCATTAGCTCAATTGTCTTCGGTAACAAGTGTTCTTTGTTGTGGGACTGCAACTTTTTTACTTTATTTGGGAGTAAACATCTCATGGTTATGTTCATCAATAAATTGGCTTATAATCCAAACTCCATCTTTCAAGAGAACAGACATTCGAGCACAACAATTTACTCGATTTGGACGGTCACATGTTCCCTTTTTTTAGGCTGATAATTTCTCTTTTTTCTTGCCTTGTAGCAAACAAAATATTTTCGATTAACAAGTCCATCTGGGGACGACCTCTTTGTTGACTCCGTGCGAATACTAAATCCCATTCTTTTGGCATATTCATTATAAAATTCACGAGTTTCATCAGCCGAAGGAAATTGCATACCTTTACGAGGCATCCCACCAATAATGTCATCCTCACCCAACATTTTGGGCCCTTCAATTTCCATAGTAGTACTAGTAGAAATCTCTTCTAACCCCTCAAGATCATCCATTTGTACAGTTAAGAAGTTGTCATTGTTGACTAAGCAGTTGTTCCCATCAATTTCATTTTGAGATATTTGTTGTGAAATTGGAGAAGAATTCATCTTAATTCCTGTAATAAAAGATAATATAGGAGTAAGATTTTTTTCTGACTTTCTTGAGTAGATAGAGCATAGTTAGAAAATAAAGCACTTACCGTCCTTCGAAGAAACAGGGGTGACCGACGACAGAGATGACGAATTGTAGCAGGAGAATGGGGTGAAAATAATGGGTGCTGGGGATTAAGTCAACGGCATGGGATTATATTTGAAAAATTAAAGGAATCAGAGGAGTCAATGGAGATGGGAAGCAATGGAGATGGAGAAGGAGATGAGTGCAGAAGGGCCAAAAAGAAGGAGGGGCGGGACATTAAGAAAGGGCAGGAGATTAATAAAACGACGTTGTTTTGGGTTAGGACTCCAAATTTTTTTTGGGAGTCAGGATTGATGGCCACTTTACCATGTATATATATATATATATATATATATATATTTAAAATTGAAACCAATGCAAAC